AAATGATTTTTTTTTACCACACTGTAAATAAAAGTCCACCCTTTAATTTGTATTGAGCAACAGAAAATCCCAGAATAATAACTGATTGTTCAGTGCAAGACTGCTGTGGCACATTTAATGACACTCATTACAAGTCTTAAATTACATAAACAAATAACACTAACACTTTAATTTTGACACTGATCATAAAAGTTTTAAACAGTATTTCATTGCTTCCTGTTTTCATCTAAAATCAGGCGTGATGCAGACGCCCAGTTTACTCAGCACCTCCTCAGACTTGGAAAGATGAAGGTTTAGAATTCAAATGTTGTCGACTTTCAACAAACTCAATCACCGCTGGGTGATTTTTATATGTCGTGCAAAGACAAATAATCAGAGATCCTTGCGGCGAACCCTGAGAAATGTTCTCGGATGACGACCAGGCGTAGAAAGCAGGAGTAGCACCGATAGGTTTGACACCACTGAATTTGTTAGAAACAATTATTTCTCACAGTAGTATTTCCCCTGCTGGAAAACAGTGCGAGAAAAAGCCGTTTTTGTGGCTGTCCTTTTGCAATCAGGTTCTCCAAACCTCCTGCGTGACGGGAAGTCTCACTTAAAATTCATAAAGTTTTCACGTTCAAAACTTTGCAGTCCACAGCTGGACATCGTTATTCCCTCCAGTATTGTTTTTAGGCAATTTGAATAACAAAATTTATGACAGAAAGTCTGATTTACAGACAGTAAGCCAGTGAGAGCGGGATCAGTTTTGAGGTGGAGGTTCCTGCTCGGTCCTGATAAACTCTTACCTGCTCATGTTCCGTTTCCAGGTGAAGGAAAAAAAGGCTTAAAAAAATACCAAATGTTTTCTGTCATTTCAGCACTTTGAAAAATAGTGATTCTTTTTACATTCTTTTTATTTGAAATAATAATAAACTTTAATTGTTGCTGCTTTAATCAGACTAAACTCTGAGCGCGTGCCTAGTGCTAACGATCAGAGAAATTCAGCCATGTGTGTGTGCGCGCGTGTGTGTGTACGCTGAAGGTGTGTTCAGGTGTTTAGTTTGGCTCCCACCATTATGGAAGTGATGAATGAGAGGCCGGCTGGCTTTAACGGCCGACTGGGCCAGCTGGACCAACTCCCATTCACTTGCATCCAGTGGCAAACACAATTGGTCACATTGATCAAGTGAGCAGCAGAACAATGGCTACTGCCCCACTGGGGTCCCGTCTGCTGTTAAGCCTCCCCTCCTTCACTGAGCCAGACTTGTTAGAGATGATGGATAAAAGACAGGGGAGCAACTGAACCACAGTGCTTCGCAGAAGTACTCGCACCTTTTTCCAGACATTACGTCCGCAACTCCACGGATTTTACCGAACGTAGAGAGTTGAAGTGGAAGGAAAATGGTAAATGCTTCCCAAAGTTCTTCAAAATCAAAAGCTAAATATGTTGGTGTGGTACATGTGTGTGTGTGTGTGTTTGCATTCGTTCCACTTTATGTTGATTAAAATCTGTTGTCCTCAGACCAATCATTTGAACCAATTTGTTGAGACTGGGGCACCAATTGTCTTCAAACAGTATCACGGAGACCAAGGGGCGCAGTGGACAGTTTGGTGTAGACATTTATTGCAGGGTTAGTCTGAAGAGCAATAACAAATCCCCCTTAGACTGACAGGCAGAGCGAGGACAGCAGTAATCAGAGAAGCAGCCAAGCGACCTTTGGTATATCTGGTGGAGCTGCAATCTGTCGATATGGCAACTAAAAGGGTGGTGCATTCCACAAATCTGGACATTTTCAAAGGCTGGCAAGAAGAAATCCATTGGTAAAAGGAAAAAAAGTAAATCAAAGAATTCTGCCTTGTTTGCAGGACATGTGGGGGACAAAGACAAAAGTGTTCTGGTCAGATGAGAGCTGGTGGCAGAAAGTAGCTTGAAAATGCGGGCTGAGCTAAAATGGAATGACTCAAAGATGGCGTAGATTTTGATCAAATTGTTTGTATCACTCTGTTAGTGATGGGACTAACTAACTAACTAACTAACTAACTAACTAACTAACTAACTAACTAACTAACTAACTAACTAACTAACTAACTAACTCCTTCACTTCACCCTTAAACAACAATCACTTAGAAAAGTGATTCTTCAAAAATTTATATTTTTGGAATTCTGCTGAAAATAATTGATTATTTTCTTTCTGGTTCACCACTGGGCTCTACCCTGTATGTCTCCCACTTAGAATACATACGTGGAGGTTTGTGTGAAGATTCCACCCTTTGGGGATGGCGGGTATCTGAAAACGAAAGTGAAACCAAACGCATTTAAAATCCACGCCGTTGATCCCAACACGCGTCCACTGTTCACCCATGACAAGACACAGACGTCAAGCATGTGACGTCCCTGGAATCCTCACAAAATTCACTTCATTTTCCGATGTTCATCCAGGTTTATGTTTGACAAAATGTTGGGGAGGAAAAAACCCCAAACAGTCAAGGGTAAAGAATGTTTTAACAAGGCAGACATGTTCCCTCTACTGTGTAAATAAGGCAAGTTAAGAATGAAGGGTCTGCAGTGCGTACAGTTTGGGTTTTATCACTAAATTAAAGAAAGAAGTATGTGAAGCAATAGCAGATGTGAACGATGACATGAGTCGTTAGCTGGAGGCAGAGACAGCTGTATTTGTCATAAACTGTCAGCGGCGGGGTGGAGGGGGGCTCTGGGGGGCCCAGGGAGGTGAGGGGAGAGGGGGGCGATGCCACTTTGTCTCTGTCGTCATGCCGCTGACTGCTGCGGTCTCCTTTTAACATGTACAATTCCTCGCAGATGTAGCGCTGACTTTTAAGTCATATTTCCTATCTTAGCCATTAAATCCGTGTAATGGCGCCAAGATGTTCCCAGAGACGGAGAGGCACATAAAATCAAAAGCCTGCTGCGCTGCAGAGCGAAGCTGGGAAAAGACACACGCTCTCCGTGTGTGTGTGTGTGTGTGTGTGTGTGTGTGTGTGTGTGTGTGTGTGTGTGTGTGTGTGTGTGTGTGTGTGTTTTGCACAAAACCACATGTTGCACACAAAAACAGCGACGTCAAGCTGTTGGGGAGTTTTTAAAAATTCCTTTCTGGGGACGAACCCTGGGCCGAACAAATGGCTCCAAAGGAAAAAGAGCGGAGAGAAAACCAGAGATAAAGACGAAATCTTTCACTCAATAAACGAGCAACAAAGCAGCCAAATAGTGGAGGGTGATTCAAGGAATCGCTTTTGCTTTTAACAAGCATATCTTTTACACAGGGAGTAATGGAGTGTCTGCTTGTATTTCATTGTTTCCTCACAGCCTGTAGCAAACACCCCCCCTCCTGCAGCCCCACTCATAAAAACACAAGGAAAGGCATGGTTTCAATACACACTTTAATGAGTGAAAAAAAAGGGAAGTAATGACATGCAGGGAACATTTTTCGTCTTTCTGCTCCGCAAATTGACACCAATGACCCGCGGTGGGCTTCATGTCGTGGGTGTGACTTGTCGTGGAGCGGGCCAATGAAAAAGCTCGTCTTGGGATTTTCCTTCCAAATGCAATTATTAAAAATGATGCCAGTTTAACAATAGCCGGAGCAGAGCTGCTTAACTTTGTCATTATGAATTAATCCTGTTGCACTGCAGGAATCGGAGACAATGAGTATCATAAGGCATCCTTTTCTTCTCTTTCTCTCTCTCCCTTTTTTTATTTTTTTTATTTGCGCTGGAAAACAAAGCTTCTTTGAACCGTCTCGCCATCCGAGCCGGCCCTTTGTGTCGGCCCGCGGAGCTCAATTGTTTTCTCCTTCGGTGACTAAATGTCCGGCTCAATGTGGCGCTGCGGCTCGGGGGGAAATGATACCCCGGCCTCGGCCCCGAGCATTAAGATTACGCTGGTTTGTGTTGCTTTTCTAAACACGCGAGATTACATTTTGGGCTAAATGAGTGTGCACAGACATCAAGAGCTCCTTGTGTTTCTTTTCTTGTCGTTCCACATCCACTAAAAAGGCTTCGTGGCGTAAACAGTTTGGGATCGCCGCCGGAGAAGTTTGGACATATTGATAGGATGAAGATGCTGATCTGGCTTCGAACAAAGGGAGGCTGTTTCACTTGATTCCAGGCCTTCTCGCTCTCTCTGCCTATTCTAAATACCTTGGTAGTTGGCAGTTTGGACAATAAACACATTGATGAATGGCAGCTTGCCATTTCTTCTTCTGGTTTGAGTTGGGAGCATCAGAAGGCCACAGAGAATTGCTTTTGTCATTTGGAAAAACAAGGATGACACACATGACGCCGTCTGGAATTCATTCTCTGCTTTCAGTCTGAACATGTGGATCGCATTTGGTACTTTTCGGTTTCAATGGGGCTGAAGGAGTCGGGTAAAAACGGCTCTGTAATCACACAGGTTTCTTAGGCCGCGTCTGATTTGTTTCGGAAGTCAAAGCACAGCTGTTCCAATTGGGAGCCCAAATCACAAGGAACTGCTAATGGCTGCGGTGCTAATTGTTTTTTCTCCCAGCTTATTGTTGCACACTTTCTTCGTACTTCCAAAGGAAGGCACGCTGCCCCAGGTAAACAAACCTCGGCAACAGTTATGCAATTTACGCAATCAGCATTTCCACTGATTATAGGACTGCGCGGTTTGACATTTCGAACATAAATTTGCTGCATGGAAACGCGCCAAAACTTTGCTAGGATGAGCGAAATTGGTTTATTTTGCAAAACTGCAACAGAAACCTTGTTTTTCATGTGACCAACAAGCAGAGGTTGCCCCGGAAGCAGTGGGCGACAGGAAGTAGTTCTTATTTCAAGGAAACATGAAACATAGCTGAATTGTGTTTTTTCGACATTAGCGGAATATCGACAATTTTCTGTGCCCATTTGTAATGGAAATGCAATTACAGTTACAGTTGGCGGTTAAGCCACCACGGCTTTTTGGACATCTTACAATCTGCACCATGAATCCTATAATAATACACACCGATTTAGCATTAACACAAATGCCAACATATGTCTGAAAGGACCAAATAAATACATTCTTTAATCATTATGCTACATTAGACAAACTTTGTGCTGATAAAGATTCCCTCTTTTTGGGATGACTGAAAGTGAAAGTGAAACTGACAGCATGACCAACTATCACAAAATCCACTTCATGTTCTGATGCTTAAATCTGCATAACACTGGGTTTTTTGTTTTTGTTTTTTTTTAATGCGCTAACATACATGGCAATACAGGACACTATGTCGTGGCACTTTAACAAACACAAGATAACACAGCAATGTCCATTCAAGCTCTTACAATAGCATGTTTACAAATAAATAATGCACAATGCTATGAACCCCACTGGTTTAATAAAGTTCCTAACACCAGGAGATATCACAGAAAGTTCATATTTGCCACATTTCTGACATTTTTGTTTTTTTCACTCAGCAACCATCCTTAGTGCTAAACTTGGACTTTTTCCCGTTTTTCCAACTTTAGGTTGGATTCTCCACAGATTTCCAGCTGGAAACTGGAAAAAAAATCTGATCTCCAAGTACAAATAGGTTAACATTACTCCAGTTGTAAAAGGCAGCGGCAGCAGGGAAGTTCCTGTAGTTACGTGTAGCAGAAAAATGTCATATTGCAGCAAGTAGAAAAGGGAATAAAAGTCACAGGAGAGTCAGATGGGCTTCCAGCTCGCCAGGAATCTGTAGAACACAGAGCTACGTCGGCCCACATGAAAGATTTAGCCATGTTGCCACTGTTGAAGCAGCCAGCGAAGTAAATACAAATAATCATCATCGCAATAAAAAGACTGCTTGAATGAAATATGTGGTAGTAAATTGTAAGTGAAGTATTTCAAGACGGCTGACTGACTTTGCTCAATTGCAGGTTGAATTTTCATACTTACTGTTTGCTGTGAGCACAAACTTTATGCTTTGTGCACAAAATCTTGTCCAATAAATCTCATTGCATGCACATTATTTGTGCATGCAAGTTTGATACACTGCTGCAGTCCCAGTTTGTGTTTTTGCATGTGTGATGACTGTTGTGAAATCAGTGATGAATATAGTACATGCTTAAAGGTGCAGTATGTAACTTTCATAAAAACATATTTGTTGAAACTGTGTTATCGCAGTATGCTATGAGACTGTGAAAAATCAAGCCTCTCTGCCTTCTCCAAGCGCTAACAAGTAACAATCAATCAGAGGCAGAAGGTTGGTCTTAGCGCTGTCAATCTCTCATAGTGTGGCGCTGCTCATCCCTTGATTCCCCTCCCTTCCTTTCTCTCTGCTATGATACAGCATCTTCCTGATAGCAGATCCTGTAGAGAATGCGAAGGCATTAGCCCACTGAGCGGCAAGTACACGAGGATGACTGACAGCGCTAAGACCCGCCTCCCATCTCCGATTGGTTGTTTTTTGCCTGGGAGCGGTACATTTTCTTCATTCAGCAATAGGGGTCACGTCAATCTTTTCTCAGATTATCTCTACACAAACATAATAAGGTTACAGTTTTAACAAAGATGTAAAAACATATATATGTTTTAAATGTGCATACTGCAGGTCTAAAGTAATATTTTCATTTTATCTACATATTTTTTTCCAAAGTGATGAACAGGTTCTGCAGAGCTCCAACCTGAATGTGATATCACACAAAAATGATATTATTTATTGGAATAAATAGCATTCAATTCATACAATATGGGATTTTAAACAATGACCTGCCAGCTTTACCATATTATGATCGTTTGTTTTCTTGATCGTCCAGACAGAAAATCCTTCTAAGTGCTGCATGCTGTTGTGAAGATGCTCTCTACTTGCAACACGGCTTCAAAAAGAAACAAAACCAAACACAATACTCTGTGGTCCCCCATTGAAGCATGTGAAGCCCTGACTTTGCTGATCCATCTGACCAGTTGTTATCGTTCTGTCACTCTGAGGATGTAATTTCCTCTCTCCAAACTGGCTGCAATATGAAATCTTTGCTGTGATCGCTGAGAACGCCGTCGCTCACGACAACCTCATAGAACCTCGCTTTTCACGAAATCTAAACTTCGAGCGCATATTGTTCTTTCTTCACCAAGCCGCTCGAAAAGACCTCGTGAATGAAACAATGTGGCTGGTGCTTCAGAATCATCTGTGTCTTATCATTGCAGGGAGGAAAAGCCCCTTAAACAGAAAAACGTGGAAAGCCAGAACTTTTTTTCTTCTCCTCCTTTTTTACCCCTTCAAAGCGCCTCCAGAGCGAGGGCTGTTGTCTTTAAGGAGGAGGGGAAGAAAGAGGAGTGGGGCGGGGGGTTACTTTCAGCGGCTTCAGCTCGGGGCTGGTTCTCATCATTTTGACAATAAAACTCAAAGAGTTGAAACAAAGCAAAGTTTCACGGAAAAGAGAAAAAGGGGGGGACGGAGGGAGGCGAAGGGGCAGGGAGATTTCCGCTGGCCTGTGCTGAATTGTCTTCTCCGTTTCTAATCCAACAGCCAAAGAGGAGCGGAGTGGTGATTTTAAGAGGAGCTTCGGGGGACGGCGGGGGAGAAAAAGCTTTTGGTGGCTTAATTCCTCTCTGGCACCCTGGGGCAAGAGGCCGGAGGGACCAAAGGGCTTGAAAGGGATCAAAGATGAATGAGTGATTGTGCTTTAAATTCCCAAAGGTTTGTTTTCATAGTGTCAGAATTTTATGGCAGTTCTGTTATCCCCGCCTCCCTCTTCCCTTCTTGTTCCATGAGATCTGTTTGATTCACAAATTTAAAAAAACAAAAAACAATACTGAGCTCACTTGAGGCACTTACGTTTTGCTCCTTGAAAGTGTCAAACATCTTCATTTGACTGATGAGTGCATGCTTCAATCAAAGTCTTGTAGTTTTAAGATATATTTACAGGAATGTCTGTACACTATTTTATCACATTTCTTTACATTCTGCAACTGATAAACAAAGTAAGAGAAAGAGTTTCTTGCGGACGCTCCGCAGCGATCGTCTTCTCATGCGTCAGCGCTTGTGGAGACTTGTGATAACCTGGGGTCGGAGTCTATCTCGAAACGGTAGTGGTAGCCCTCCCAGACCTCCCTGCAGGCGTCCCGCATGTCATACACACGCTTCTTGATTCCCTTGCGGTTGAGATAAAGTACTAAGAGGAAAATGAGGCCAATGAAGCCCAGAACGATTCCCAAGAAGACATAAGAGGTCTGCAAAGCGAGGTCTGCCCCAACGTCCCTCTGCTGGCATTCCAGAGTCAGCATGCCCACTGCGAGGATGGATGTGTTCCTCATGCTGGGAGGGAAGGCGCACAGGAGGCCCTCGGCATCCCGGACGCGATCCTGGGATCTGTTGAGCCACTGCGCAAAGGGTTCAATGCCGCAGGTGCATGTGAACGGGTTCTTCCCCAGAAGCAGAGAGGCTCGGGGAAGGGAGTCCAACTCTTGCAAGCCTTCGTCGGTGAAGGTTTTCAGGGCGTTGAGCGTGAGGTCAAGCTCCTCCAGGCTCTCCAGACCTGACAGGGCGAGGCTGCGGATGGCCACCAGAGAGTTGTTGGAGAGCTGGAGGCGGCGCAGGCCGTGCATGCGGGAGAAGGTGTGCGAGGGCAGGTAGATGAGGCTGTTGTCAGACAAGTCCAGGACCTGTAGGTTCGCCAGGGAGACCGTCTGGAGGGAGGCGGCCAGGTCCATCACAGACGAGTAGTTGTAGAGGGATCGGCTGAGGTTGAGCTCCTGCAGGGACTGGCTGATGTTGCTGAAGGCTTCGGGGTGAATGACGGTCAGCTGGTTGTTGCTCAGATCCAGAAAGCGAAGGCGGAGAAGTCCGGAGAAGGTGTGGAATTCCATCTCTGAAATTCTGGGCCGGAAGAAAAGCATGACGTTTAGGTCAGACTTCAAAGCACAGTTCCAGAGGAGGTCTGAATGAAAGAAGTACTCTGAGTCATGGATTCTTGACTCTTCATCTTGTGAAGAGTCAAGAGTTCTGATGCCACAGAGAAAAATTATAATCCACTACATTGGATTACTTGCTCAGTTCAATAAAATGTTTACAGATTGTTCTAACTGACAGAAAATGTGATCTTTTCAAGCCAATTACATGTTCAGTTGTGCACAAATACACAGTCCAGATTCATACCGATCCAATCCAGTCATACAGACACATTAGATTAAATTGCCCACAACCTTTTCTCATCTCAAATCAGACAATGCAGATGAATTCAACTCATAATGCCAACTTAAAAGTTTTTAATGTGAGAAATCTCAGCCATGTGCATTGAATGCATGGCGTTTCCAGCGGTATCTTACCTGTTGTTGCTCAGTGAGAGGTTGGTCACGTTATCCAGACCCCTGAAAGACTCCGGACCGATTCGGCTGATCTGATTCCCGATTATAAACAGATTCCGGGTGTATCCCGGGATCCCGGTCGGGATACTCCTCAGGTCTTTGGAGACGCACTTGACTGTCTGTGCCGCTTCCGAGCACTTGCAGCGCGGAGGGCACGACGCGTCCACGGAGGCGAGGAGCGCGCAGAAAACAAAGCGGCTCGTCAGGTGCAGCATGTTGGAGCGAAGTCCGAAAGTCAACGGGAGCGAACGAGGAGGAGAGACCGCTGGGAGGAAGGAGTCAGCTTCTCCGAGACGCGAACATCGCGCGGTCAGTTGTCCCGGCCGGGAACGCGCCTTCAACTTCGCATGTCTGCAGAAAGTGCGGTCCGCAGCGGGCTGGGTCTGGTTTCCACTGAAACAGAACCGGGGGTCGCGCCGATCACAGGGGGAGAGGAGGGGAGGGGAGGGGGGCTGTTTGATCCTCAGAGCGGGGCGTCGCTTCTTCCCTCAACAATGCAGTTAAAAGAACCATCGACTGGATCATCATCTGCGGGGAGGAGAGGGGAGGGGCTTCCCTTTCCCCCTCCCGCCTGACCGGATCCACGAGGAAGGAGAGCGGGTCGGAGATGCCAGGGTTCCGGGTGTCTCTCTCTCTTTCTCTCTCTCTCTACCAGCAGTTTTGATGACCCGAGCCTAAATCTGGATTTTTTTTAAACGTGGACTTTTGTCATAAAATTTGCAGGGCCGGATTTCCAAGCATGTGGGGCCCTGGGCTGGAGCCAGATTTGGTGTCTTTCCCACCACAGAAAGATTCTCCCTCTGATACAAATTTCAGTGCAACAATGATTGGTTCTATAGATAAGTGGGTATGAATTAATATATAATATTTTTTATTACATCTGCCATGTTGGAATGCAAATCATTACTAATAACTTCATACATGAGTAGTGCCATACATATCAATGCAGTTTATCTTTGAGATTTATATAAAACATGATGCAAAACATTTAAAAAAAGAAGAAAAAAAAATCTAACTGGCGTCCTTTTAAAATTGTGACCCTGGGATATTTCCCTTTTAAAGCTGCAGTGTGTAATTTTTTTTATAAAAATGTTTTCCCATATTTAAAACTGCCAATCAGAGCCAGGAGGAGGGTCTTAATGCTACCAATCATCCTCATGTTCGCTGCTCAGTGTACTAACGGCGTAAAAACAATTTGCCATGAAAGAAAAACCGTTCACTCGCAGTCCCTGTTGGCTATGCTAACTAGCTTTTGCATTCATGGCAGGCTATCCTGTGGTGAACCAGCTGTAGCTCAACAAAGAGCAAGTGGGAGGGGGTGAGCGTGAGAGTGATTGACAGCGGTAAGGTCCTCCTCCCGGCTCTGATTGGCTGTTCATGTGGAAACAGAATTTTGACTAATATGTACGAGAACCCTTTTTTTTTTCATTTGACTTTTTTTTCGTTCAATAAAACTTTCCAAAGTCTGGCCCAACATGTAGGATCATCTCCTCTGAACAGGACTGTTGGCCACTCACAGACCTACAGCCTTTCTCATGGCCGATGTGTCTTCTGACAGCTTCTGACCATTTTTGACGGGAATCACTCCGGAGCGTATAAATAGAAACTCGAAGAGGAGGAAGAGGAGCTGTCATCCTTCAAGCCGACAGCCCTGATGAAACGCAGCGCTCATAATTCAATGATGGAAAGCTAAAAGGAGGGGAGGAAAAAAGAAAAGGCCCACACATTGATAGAATAATAGACGTCTTTATTAATGTTATAGCTGTTCACACAGTCGCTTTCCGAATTTTGGAGAACCCCCAGCAGCAAGAGAGATATCTGGAGGATCGGAATGACACAAGGGTTTTGAGTCAACAGACCCGTGTTCAGTACGTAACAAGTGAATGGCGGCACTAGTGATGCCGTCCCGACTGTTTTTTTTTTTGTCCACAGACTAGAACGGCAGGACAGCAGGTCCCCACATTCCTGGACCTGGCTCCTGGATACGGGAAGGCACCACAGCAGGCAACACCTAAGACCGCTTCAATGATCTCCACACAGCCCTGCATTCCTGCGCAGGACTTCCTACGAAGAAGCCACAAGAAAGCCCCTATATGACAGGCAGTTATAAGGCGATCTCTAAAGAGCTGGATATTTATTTTCTCTAATAGCAACGAATGAGCATCTTTTCTAATCCAGCTAACAGAAACAAGAAACCACATTCTCACTTAAGCGTAAATGAAAGTGTTGGGTATTTTGAAAAGTGACATTTCTTTCAATAATGTTTCCCAAAACCACCTGACCCTGAAAGCAAGATGTCTCTGAGCGACACGACTTCAAAATAAAACACGATTTAATATTTTTATCCAAAACTCGACTTCCGATTTGAATTATTTTCCCTTTGTTTTTGTTTTTTTTTGCCACATACATATAAAAAGAAATGACATCAGATATCTTGAAAATATCTAAAAACAAAAACAAAAAAAAAAACTAAAGAGAGCTAAGGAACAGAAAAAACCCTCAATATTTAATTCAAAGTTGAAATAAACAGAAGTTGTAAAACATGTTTGTCAAAAAACATCACTCTGAACTATGGAAACCTGAGGTGAAAAAAGGATTTTAAATAAATTACATCTTCAAAACCAGAAAATTCAATCAAATTGATAAAATCAACTTATTGGCCAGCCTTAAAGCAACACAATAAATGCTTTAAGAGTGGCAAACACATTTTTTTATTAAATCCTGAATATGACTACATGGACTCTACAACAGCGTTTCTTTTTCTGCGTTTTGCTGTTTTGATTTGATAATCATCCCCACTACTGGAGACGGTCTGCAGCTGCAGATGATGAAACATTACTGCCGTCTCGATTGAAGCGGGGATGATTATCTCAAATTTGTCATCAACTCTGATTAAAGATAATGAGCTACTCCATACCCGCAAGAAACTATGAGAAATATACAGCACTAAATTAAAAGCTCTGCAAAAGTATTTGCACACCTTGAACATTTTCCACATTAAAGTCATAAAAGGCTGAGTTTAGTTGGATGTTGTTCGATAGAGCAGGGGGTCTGGAAGTTTTTGATCCTTTCACAATTTCTCTCAACAATTTGGCTAAAAAAGTGAAAAATAAGCAAAAAAACTTTAAAAATATACATATAACAAATGGAAATAGAGCACTTAGGGGGCTTTTTTTCAGACTGAATGAGGGAAATATCAGTAATACTGAATTATTTTTTAGATAATTAGTTACATTTGTGGCTATAAATGAGTTTTAGTTGGACTGGGGCCAAAAACGGTTCATTAGTTTGTAAAGGTTGCCGACTCCTTGAACAGACCAAATGATGAGAAGACTCGCCGCAGCACTATGCTGCCATCACCGAGCTTCTCCTCTCTAGTGTTGACTATTGCATGTAGGCCAAATGAAGATCCTGCTTGGATTGTGGAAAGGCTCAAGAGGTGTGAATACTTTTCACAAGGTTGAAGAGAGACAATTATGACTTTCCTTTTTCCTGCATGCATGCGACACACACATGCAGCCATGCAAGTGAATGCTCTTCCTGATAGAATATGTAGAAAGTAGCACACATTCTGTTTTAGGCACGGCTCTGCTACAACCCTCAGCAGACGTTAAACACAAACATGGAATACAAAGTACAAATTTAGTGTCAATGACTAAATTTTAAAAAGTCAAGGTCATGTTTTTACAAAATGCCCACTAAAATGGGGAGTCAAATATTTACAGGGAGGAGAGGCGAACTGTACGCATGAAGGTAGGACAGAGTGTTAGGGCCAGGCACAGAAAAAAATGCTACTTATGATATAAAGTCACATAATATTATGAGAACTAAGTCACAATATTGCAAGAATAAAGACACACAACAGCAAGTCGGAATAATGTAAAAATAAAGTTGCAATAAGACAAATGAAGAATATTACGAGAATATGATCGCAATGTGAAAAAAAGTCAGAACAGCACAAAAATTGATTTGCGATATTACCAGAATAAAGTGAGAATATTGTCTAAATTTCCCGAAAAGAAAGTTGCAATACGAGATAAAAGCAAACCAGAGTGATATGGGAATAAAAAATGACAAAAAGGTAGAATGTGAGTATGAAGTTGTAATAATACAAAAAAAAAGAAATCGTCCTATTAGACAAATCTCATATGAAAAAGTCAAAATTTCATATGAGAATGAAGTAGTAATGTTATAACTCCTACAAGAAAAATAATTTTTAAAAAAATTTAAATGAGTAACGCTGGGAATCATGTGAAGTTATACTTTGGATTCGAATGTACAAAGACGACATACTTAATGTCTGAACACATCAGCATTAAACATCATCAGGAGCAGGACTTTGAAACAATTGTGTAAACAGAGTCCATTTCAAAGAAACCAAAAACTACATTTTTCATGTCATTTTAAGATTTCCTTCTGATAATATTGCCTCTTTATTCTACTATTATGACTTCATCGTCAGAATGTTATGAAAAAAAAAAAAACGTTTTCTGGCCCTAATACTCTGTCATATGAATCAAAGATCCTCTATCGACGTCTGCCGACGACCTGTGCAGGATGTCGGTGGGGTTGAATTTAAACTTCAAAACAGGCGGCGCGGATATATCCCAGCGACTTTCGGCTCTGGACCGCTGAGCCGGGAAAGCAGCAGGAAGCAGCGGCGCTCGCTGAAACACTGAGCGATGGTTGGCGAGCGTGAAAAACCTGAGAATCCTGGCTCCCTGCTGCTGCTGGAAGAGAGAGAGAGAGAGCTCCACGCTCCTTTGTTTCTGCTTGCAAACAATGGCAGGATTTGAGTCTGCCCCCTCTACTCCGACAGCCATTTGTAGTGCCAACCATCATGAGGATTGAACATTTAATATAAAAAAAGAAAGAAAAAAAAGCAGAATGCTGAAAATGCCACAACGTGATCTCTTCTGTATCGCAGAAGAGATCTGCGATACAGGTCATGAATCAGGCACCGACTCTGACTTCTGTGTGAAAAATCAGTAATGAGCAGAAAGAAAACATCCGAGTGGGATCGTGGATATCCATCACAACCACATTCACCAAGGTCGCTACAATCGTCGCAACGATGAGCTGTTGCTAACAGCACCGTGAGGTTAGACGTGTTCAAGGAATCTTTAAGAAAATATCTTTCTCAGAAGATGCCGACTGCTCGCTGTGTCATGTACAGTTGTTAAAATGCGCTCACATTGCTGTGGAAGAGCTACAATAGATCAAGTATGAAATGCTAGAAAGTCGCGATAAGGCAGCTAATGACGTTTGTGCTCCATGTATAAAAATGGCTTTCGGAAGCACTGAAGATATCAGGTAAACAACCCCATCAGTCTGAAAGCAAGGCATGAATTTTACTACACCAGAGCATCTTTGCAATTAGTGTGAAGCTGTTATTTTCGGATGCACAATAGCTGGAATTCATAAAAATGCATATGTGTGAATGGATATGAAGCGTTGAGGTATAACAACTTCGGCACTGCAGTGAGAAAAAAATAAACACGTTTCCATTGTGGAAGTCCTCTCTGAGAGGTAGGCAGGCTTTAAGTCCTCAGTTACTGTTGCTCGACACGGCGATGGCGTTCTTCAAAAAGGTGGTTCGTGTTTGGTCGTGGCGGCCGCCTCACCTGGCCCCACCCCGGTCATCGGATGTTGATGGCGAGAGCAACTGCGAGCACGACGCTCACGAGCAAAAAGAACGGCAGCCAGGTCTTCAGCACGCCCGCGCAGCTGGACAGAGAACAGAAAACAAGCTGAGGACAGCAGAGTTTATGCTGCTGCCGAAAGATCACACAGAGTTATAACAATAACAAGCTTCCAGGATTGATAGACACGCTGCGCTTTCGTTTCAATTCTCATGTTAACGAGTCGATATCATGAAGCCTTCCGCCGTTACCTGAGTGAAGTTGTCTTCACACTGCCTTCTCCAAATCTAAACAAATTGGTGTCAAACATTTGTGCAGCAAAACTGTCCATTTTTACTGCTTTACTTTGAAGACGTTAATCAAAGCTAGAAGGTCAACTTGTTCGAACCCACGTATTACAAAATTTTTGTTTGTGCTGCTGTCATTTTAAAATGTGAAAATGTGCAAATGTTTCCAGAGGTCATGAAAGGTCAAACAACCCCTCCACCTTCTTCCAATTAGACAAAAATTGGAAGATCAACTCGATCTTCCAATCGAATTGTGCTTGCTGCACAAGCAAATTATTTTGCTTTTGCTTTGAAGATTGGAAGCTGACAGGGTCAAAAGGTCAGTCAGCCCCCCCTCAAATTAGCCAAATCTAACAAAATTTGTCAAATATTTGTGCTAAGTTTGTACATTGAAAAAAATATATATATATATATATATATATTTATGCTGCTATAATTTTAGATATTAATGAAAAAGGTTTCGGAGTCCTCTACAGTCGAATATAATCTGGAATTTTGGAAGTAAAGTTACACATTTTACCTTAAAAATCAAAAACAAAACATAACCTTTTGACTCAAAAACACAAAAGGAGGTTGCATGAACAGAAAATCGTTTTTAGATGATGTTGTCATGCATTCTGTTTGGTCGCACCTTTAATAAGGCACATTACTGCCCTTCATGTTACTTTTTAGATCTTCTTCCATCTCCATTATATGCAGTAAAAACAGCTTTGCTGTTCGGTTGTTAGCGTTGCTGCAGTATGGAAAAGTTGCTATGAACCATAGTTCTTTTTAAAACCAGAACTCTACTAGAGGTGTAGCAGTTTCTCGTAGAAATACTCAACGGCCTTCCGAAGGTTTGCCCTATATAACTCATTATGCATCCATAGAATCAGGGCGCCTTCCTCTCCTCTTTGTATCGTGGGACCCGGCAGGTTCAGACCCAGTGAAATCATGCCTGGGCCCTCGGGATCCCACTGAGGAACAGCGTTTATTTTTTCTTACTGGATGTAAAGATGCCAGCTGGACATTGTGGGCTTCTTGGGTGGAAAAAAAAAAGGTTCTGGTGTTTTTAGTCTGTCATGTGAACCAACACAGACTTCTGACTTAAATGTTGGTTGATAGTTTGATGCACGGAAATGGGGCTGCGCAACATCCAAAAGCGTGATTGAGATTCAATTGCTGTCCGGTGAGTTTAATCACCAGACAGGCTTTATTTACAGAGACCTGTTTGTAGTTCGAGGGAAATTTAATTTGGGGGACAATTTTCCTTAGAATGATTCAAACATTGAACAATTCGCCAATAAATGGACACCAATGAGATCCCAATTGCAAGAGGTGTCCCCCAAGGACGCCCTCTCAGCCCACTCCTCTTTGCCTTAGTGTTGGAACCAGTTTGACAGCACAGAGATGCAAAGTGTTTAACAATCGCCTTATACGCAGATCATATCTTCATATTCCTTTTGTTCTGTCAATTATCAGTTTCTGTTACGACAGGAATCCTTAATTAATTTAGTGACATTTCAGGGTACGATTCAGTTGCTGTAAATTGCAATGACGATATTGATTGTGATTAATATGCATTTGTCTGATGAGTTTATTTGTTCCTCCGCCTTACCCGACATATTTTCCGTGGATGAATGAGAGAAGGCAGAGGTTCACCATGTTCCATGAGGTGCTGTTCTCGTATCGCATCAGATTCAGAGCCATGGCCACATGGGAGTGACAGTTGTCACAGCACAGGTTGTGCTTTAGAGAAAGAAAAACATTTCACCATTTTAAATTCCTGCCAACGATCCATAAATTAGCTTAGAGCCAGCAAAGCAGCCTTTAGTTACCATCCTGTGCTTGTACTCCTCTGAGGCGTCGTGGACGGCCGTGTCCCAAGCGTTGGAGCCACTGGCGTAGACTTTACTCACGTCAAGCATCCAGTACCTGCAAAGAGGCGAGTTTGGATTTCATCGTTCCCATTAGGCGTTAGATATTGCTGAAGGGCAACTTACTTTGTAGGTCTCCCAAAAGCCATGTTGTCTTCCTGCAAAACATAAATATTATTCATCTTTTACCCTTTTTACCGATCTTAAAAAATAAAAAAGTGTTGAGGCATTTAGAAAATGAAAGTAATTTTTGTCATTCTAATGAACATAAAACAAGATTTGATTTGATTTCAGGCAAGGAGGAAAAGAAACATGTATGTGTCTTTTTATTCTGTCCATGTACAAATCTGGTTCCAGTTGTATTTATTTCACAAATGCAAATATTTTAATACAGGTTGAAGAAGTCCATTATCTCTCTTAACATTAGAGATGCACCAATCCACCTCTGTCACTTCTGAGATATCTGAGGTTTAGTATCGGTCAATACCAATCCGATACAGAAAAACAGCTGAAGGTTTTCTTTCTTTAAATGCAGACATAAATGTAGTGAATTATACTGCAGTACAGCACACTTAAATACACAAAATGCACCTATTTGTTCAGTTATTGCAAATAGGAGTATAACAGTCTATGATAAAGAAACTGAAACTGACAAAAGATAAGACTAACTTGGTCAAACATGTAAAAAAAAAAAAAAACCCTGCAACCAACCTTCTATCAAATTGTTCAGATGGAGGATTTTAGGGATTATAAATATAATATAAAATCAATTATAAAACAAGCATAGAATTAGACTCAGTAGATCTGCCTTTATGGATCAGACACGTTGTCATGAACACCTATCTGGATTTTTTTTTTGACATCGGAGCCGATACAGTTATTTATTATCAGATCGGTGCATCTTTGCCTGAAACAAATATATCTTTGTTTCATTACTCACTGAGACGAAGTACGGTCCAGCAAAGTCTCGGATCACTCCGGTGGAAGTGCAGATTCCCATGTGACCAATGAAAGGAAACAGCCATCTGGATGAGAAACAGGGGGTGGGGGAAAGAAAGCCACAGGTATATTTATTTGCAGATTGATATTTGTGGATGGATATTTTACAGAGCGGATCTGGAATACACGCCTGAGACACCGAGGAAGAAGCTGGATGTTGTTCTGACACAGGAAAAGAACCCGGATGCTCCACTTACACTTTGGAAAAACATCCAGAGGTGATTCTAAATAACCTCTATGACTAATTTTCTTTCGTCATAGAAAATGATCAGGGTTTTTTTTTGTTGCAAATTTATGACCATTCAACCAAAAATATCCACATTGTCTTTCTTGTAAATATGTAAAATTAATCTAGATATTTTTTCAGCATGAGATTTACTCCTACGTAGCAGTTTTCTTTATCCCTTGATTTACAACGACCGCAATACGCCATTGTAGCTTTATTAGACAATATTAACTTAAAATGCTCATCAGAGCTATGCCTGAAACGTACAAAATATGGATATGGTGGCTTTATAGCAGGTTTGTCCAACATTTATACAAAATCGGCTTAAACATTATTGTCTGAGTGACTCAATATTGGGAATGCAATTAACAATAATAGGAAATAAAGAACATATACCGAAAACCTTTCCATACTTTATTCAATAATAATGAAAACCTGAACTCTTTCAATTAAAATAAGCTTTTGGACATTTTCAGATGAGACAGTATCAACACTCTTTAGCAAAATAAAAGCCATTAGATGAGGAAAACAACAGCTTACATGGTTCCTATACATTTTTCATATTCCAGACTCTAATTTCCAGAGTTAACAATCCCATTTTAGCCAATTTGTGAAACATAAACTTTACTGGAAATATGTGAATGATGACGTTAGTTGGATATAGGCACCAGTATACCTCAAGGTTCAGAGGGGTACAGAAAATGGATGGACTGATGTCTATGATGTCTTTTTGCTTTAGACCAGCAAAAATGATCAAGAGACCATATTTTGCTTTTATCTATTCAAGTCCTGCCTTTTCTTCTTCTTCTTTAAACGCTATTGTTTTATAAAGCCCATCTGCTTTACCGTTGCCATTTTTGGTATAAACTGAATACCAGTGTAAACAGTGTAAACAGTAACTGTGCAGTGAAGTGTGAGGTTCTCTCAAGACCACACACTTACATATTTGTGGCCCTTGGTGGGGCCCCGAGCCCAACTTTAAACAGTTTATTTTCCGAAATTAATTTTTTTTTTCCTTTTCAACCCAGAACTTCCAAACTGCCGTTTCTGAGTACAAATAGAAAGTAGCATAAAATCCGCTTAAGCCTTTCGGGTTTCCAAGTTGCTCGCTTCCTGTATATCATACTTCTAATTTACCGTTTAATTATTCATGTGCTGGACCCATCACATCACCCATGGCAGCAGGGAGGGTCAAAGCGGCAGGAATGAGACTTTCTTTATTAGAAAAGTGCAACAAACAGCAACAGGATGGTGCTGTTGTCCGTTTTGTTAGCAGGCTAAGCTAATGAAGCCGTCACTTTCCTACAAGGTGCAGAGGTTTCCTTCAGTTAAAACAGACACAGACGCTGACGACCGGAACTCACGATAGCATGGGGATGGGCGTCCACACAATGCAGTAGGGAAAGCGGCTGATCTCCGGGCTGACTTTTTCTGACGCTATTTGATAATTCTTCATGCTGTCATTTTCAACAACATCCGCCATAGCCAGCTGTGGACTACGAACTTCATTTGTGTCATAGTAACTGTGTCAAGTTACCGCCCAAGTCCAGGTCAGAGACCGGAATACACGGCATTCAAGATTTCACAACAAAAGTTTTCCATAGTTCACATAAGCAAACAGCACAGCTTGAGCTGATTTTTTTAAAATGTTTTAACAGCTTAAATAGTTTAAATAACATTTCGCTTATTTTCAATTGTCTACATGAAAGTATTTTAATATTTCTATGACAATAAGTACAAAAATGTTTTATTCTGAAAGGCGCAGTCAGGTTAGCTAATGACCGAATACTTTCATTCACTCAGCGAAGCTTGACGCACGAGCAATTCATCAGACAACTAAACAATATCATTACACTGTAAACACACCCTATTTATTCTTTTGCTTAAGAGTTTTTTAAAAAAGAGGAATTAAAATAATATAAATTTAATTTAGCAAGTGTATTCCAAAGGAAACACGCATTTTGTTAAATGCACAGAACAAAAGGCGGATAGTTATTTTACTCTAAGAAGAGTAGCGTTACTTACATGTGTTCTCACTCAAATTAAAGTAAAAAATAGCCATCCAAAAAAAAAAACCTTAAGTAAAACAATGAAAATATTTGTTAAAGTGCTTTTTAAGTACTGAGCAACTGATTTAATATTTTAAAATGATGTAATCAGATAGACAAAATCTATAAGCATAAATGTACAAATTCAGGCAGAAAAAACACTCCTCTAAATACATCACTATATATATATATATATATATATATATATATATATATATATATTATATATATATATATATATTTGTTAAATAATAGCATTTTTGAGAGTTGGATAATTAAGTTGCACATTCACATTTTAACTTTAGCAGCTAGCAAAGTATGCAGAGCCTCTTAAAGTACTGTAAAATAGCAGAACTTGTTGTAGTCCTACCACAAGATTACTGTAATTCCATTATATTCAAAATATAATGAAATTGCGGTAACCGTGTAATTTAATTACTGTCCCCTTGTAATGAAATTACGGGAAAACTAATAAAATGACAGTAAGATTGTAATAAAAAGCACCGTAAAAATGTACAGCAATAAAATTACAGTGAAACTGTAGGAAATTTACAGCAAGGTTACTGTAAAAAAAATTTTTTTAAATAACTGGCTAGCAACCCTGCTGCCAGTAATTTATTGTAAATTCTACAGTGACTTTTTAACAGTGAAGAAGGTGGAGGACGGAGGAAAGCCCTTCTCATCCGATGCAGAAAGTACCAGCGCTGCGGTGCCATCTTCACCAAGGTTGTCTGTAACATGCCCCCGCCCCCAGGAGATTTTATAATCATTTACTGATGACTTTTTAAACTATCTTGATTAAAATAAATAATAGGTTTTAGATGAAAGTCAGAACTCAAGTCCACAGTAAATTTTAACAATTCATCTCGGGTTTTTTTCCACCTGTCTCTGCCAACGTTTTAGCTGGAGTTTGCACAGATCTATTTTTACCATCAAAACCTCAACATGGAGAGCTCCAGCAGGATCCCCACCCAGCAAGGCACAAAAGTGTGTTTTCACGCCAGCACAGTGAGCAGTCTGCAGCGAAGTGGAGGATCTCCAGCTATCGAGCTATCTGTGGCAAATGGAAACTGGAAGCAGAGATGAACCCGTGGGATCTGCTGTGGCCCCCATGTACTCCACAGTGGGCCCCATTAGATGTGACAGGTGATAAAGTGTGCAAAGAGCAAAAACAAACCACTCAGCAAAAGTTGGGAGACATTGATAAACGAAGTCGGGGCGAGCTCATCAGGCGAGGAACCTGGGGGAATTCTCCGGCAAAATGCCACCTCGATATCTTGCTGAGCCATCCAAACCAATTAGGCCAGAGGATGGGCTGCTTTGTGGAGTCTAACTTAGATACAGCTTCTTCTTTTCAGTCAAATGGGGTTTGAAAAGCAAAATGCCAAGTGTCTGTAGGGCCCCCGGTTTGGCGCCGTTGTTACTGAGCCTCGCGAGTGGAACAGGGGTCGAATTCTGAACTTTCGCAAACATATCTCGAACCTAATTGTCGAAAAGTTACAGTTTGTGTTGTTAGAAGGAGCCAACAGAAGTACTGCTTTAAAGCTGAGCAGAGCTTTCACTGCCAAACGTTTCTACAGGAACAAATATGCTGAGATATTTACAGAATTTATACAATAATGTCCAATGAATTTACATATTTTCTTCCCGATCCAACCTTATCCTCACCTTTGTAATGATGAGGACAAGTTTTAACTGAAATAGAGAAACAATGGAGTGCATTACAAAATCTTCATCTGTTTAAATGTGGAGATCTTTTTGTTGATATCAGTTCAATAATTTTTTTTACAGAAATGGTCAATGAATTAAATTCACTTGGGTATTTTAAAACATTATGGCTTTTAAAGACTCAGTCATAAAACAATTTAACTCACAATCAGTTTTTCACGCTTCACCACTTATGCAGTATGCAGAGGTACTTTTATCACAGGTACGCCTCACCTGTAAGATCAAGAACGAATCCTAAGAATCACTTTGTATAGTTGTTAAATAATTAATTCATAACTTAAAAAAATAGAATTGTATCAAATACTTATTTTTACAGTTATTTATACCCAGTTAATGATATGACCATCTGGAAAAAAATAAGAGGTTTATGTTAAGTCTTGATTTAAAAGACGGGGTTATGTGAGGTATTTAGGGGTAGGCAATAGCCTATTCTCAATGGGAGTGGGTTTAATTAGTTCTTCCCCAGTCAGTCTGACCAGATTCTTCTCTATTTGAAAACACTTTGCAGTTCTTCCCTGTTTCTTGGAGCCATCTCAGGAGTGGTGGACCAGGCCGGGCATTCTGTGCTAGCGATTTGTATTTGTCGTGAATTTACATCAATAACATCTCAACCACAATCTTCACTTTGCAAAACACTTTAGTTGTTTTTTTTATTATTTCATTTTTATTTATTTATTTATTTATTTATTTTTGTCTTTTATCTGCTGAGTGTCTGCTGGGAAGCAAAGATTAGAAAAAGTCTGTGTAAATTTAAATAAGACAGTGTCAGCTTTAAAACTGCAGAATGACACTTTTACTTAAAACAAAATGTGTTTGACATACAGTGCAGACCAAAAGTTTGGGCACAACCTTCTCATTCAATGGGGTTTCCTTTATTTTCATGACTATTTATAAGGCAAGAAAGCCCACTTATTAATCTGACAGGGCACACCTGTGAAGTAAAAACCATTTCAGGTGACGACCTCTTGAAGCTCATCAAGAGAATGCAGTGTGTGCAAAGCAGTAATCACAGCAAAAGGTTGCTATTTTGAAGAAACTACAATATAAGGCATATTTTCAGTTGTTTTACACTTTTTTATTTTAGTACATATTTCCACATGTGTTAATTTGTAGTTTGATGCCTTCAGTGTGAATCTACAATGTCAATAGTCATGAAAATAAAGGAAACTCATTGAATGAAAAGGTATGTCCAAACTTTAGGTCTGTACTGTATTTGTCAAAACTGTCACCATGGTTTGCTTAAATCATCTCCTGGCAATAAACAAGTTTTGCAACAAAGACAATCCCAGAAGAATCTTTACCCTCCAGGTGAACATGTGCTATTCTTTAGCACGAGAGAAAAATATATCATTAAAAACTGCTACATACCAGTTACGGCTATCACAATTACTATGTTAAATGGAGTCCAACTAAAACTGAGGCTTTTGCAAGAGGAAGCACTGCCCCTGTGTGGACACTCTGAAGATGACATTAGATTGACCTTAAAACAGGTTAAGCAAGTATAGGATGTAGACCTTCATGCAATTTCCCTGTTCTGACATGTCCACCTTTCTGTTCTGCATGTTCTCAGTCTGTATGTATGTGTTTGGTTCAGGATAGATTCACTCATTTTGGAAATGCTGTTCAGAAAGGTTCAAATTTGACCAACGAGTACGGATGGCTGATAAGCTGCAGCAAACACCCATTTCCTGTTTTTGTGGCTGATATTAACCGACTCAAACTGACAGAAATTGTGAGCTTTTCTTCTAAAAAGCAAAACGTGTGAGATCCTTCTTTCATTTTGGATCAAACATGAGCTGCAGACCCATTTTTTACAAAAATCAGATTAAAATATTCCATATTTTGTTCTTTTTTATGCACGAACATATAATAAAATAACATAGAATCACAATTAAAATATTTAAGAGTTGTGCCACTGAAGTAACTAACACTTTAGATGTTGGCCAAAGTGGCAATATGTTTGAACACTACTGATCTAAGCTGTGGACATAACTGTTGGTATCATTCTGCTATTGACCACAAAACTGACAACGATCACTGAAAAGTCTTGAAACTGACAAAAGGACCAATCCAAATCAAAAACAGCTGAAAATGAACCAGCGAAAATCAGTCGTTGCTTTTGGAAGACGGTTCAGCAGAATCAGTTAAGGTAATGAACTAATGAAAATACTGAACTCCAACTACTGTGATTTCAATACTTCTGCTCCATCTATGCATTTCTCTATTTTTAGTGAATGTGCAATCTTGCTATGCAAGCGCAGTTGAAGACAGGAAGTGTCAAACTGTTTAAGTGACATAAACAGGGAAGAAGTGATGAACTGAAACCTTAAAGCTCCGGGTTAAAACAGAGACCAATGATGGTTTTTACAGTGAGCTCATAGTTTATGCTATTACACTTGTCATGTCCAGTTGTCCAGCCTTCCAATGGGTCGGGAGGCTGGACAAAGCTTATTTTAAAGAGTCTTTGAGAAGTTTTTGAGGGTTGAAAACCATTACTTCAATCTGATGTCATTCTGTGCAAAAACCAACAACAACTTGAGCATGAAGTGGAGTGATTTAAGTAAGAGAACACTGCAAAAATTAACGTTGGAGCTTGGTTGATCACCTTCCACGAATTATTGTTACAGCAGAAATGATTTCCTAAACTTAAAAATGTGTTTCTGCTAAAAAAAAAAAAAAAAAAATTATTACTTCAGAAGTTTTCTTGTTGAACAGAAAGCGTAGAATTTTCTGGAGGGCGTGAAATAATCTTTTACAGAGATTGCCATTACTTGTTAACCACTGAAACGCCCATCGTGTTTTGATTCATAGGTATATTTGTTACTTTTTCAGCCAACTTTTTTATGTCATTAGAAGAACTTTATATGTGAGTCACATGCTCAGAGCGAGTGTCTGGATCTCTCTCCAGGGCATGTTCAAGCTAATTCGTCTCTTCAGGTGGAATGTCAACCTTGAAAACAAAATGTACCAGGTAGGAAACTGGTACTTTTATGACTTTTATGCCAAGTCATAAAAGTTCCAAACCATCAAAAGCTAAGCATTTTTAAATAAATAATTGTTGCATCCCATCAGAGCCTACTCTGTCCTCTCTCAACATATATAGCCATAACATTATTGTGTAAATTATCAAGTGGATGCCTCCACTTGTCTTCAATCAGTAGATCCTCATTTCAGAATTACATCAGCCATAAATATTTACCCACCAAGCCTTTCTTGTAGTTTGGAGAGATTCCAAACTACTGGAATTATGTCATCAGAGAGGAAATCAAACCTGTGCTGGGGTGGAACAATATCACACAAAATTCTGAAAAATTCTGAGCCATTTCCTGACTTCAGAAACATAAACAAAACCAATATCATATTCTGTTTATGCAATGTGGTCTTAGAGGTCTGTGTGTTGCTGCCTGTATGATGTACTCTATTTCATGTATGTGTAAACAACAGCACAGCACACAGTCACTTGCAAAGAATGTTAGCAGCTCTCCACACCCACACAGACTGGATGTTTTCACTTGCTTTGGAGAAATGCCCTGAACCACAGACATTAGCTGGGACTTTGAGTTTGAATGTTAATTGTAATATTACTGAAGATTTAAAAACTTGAATTAGTTGGTTAGGTAACATTTAAATGCTAACAAAATCATTTTTAAGCTTCAGAAACAGCACTAAATAGTCAATTCAGAGGTAGAATGTTTTGGTATATGTATATTTTTTTATGAATGAAGGAGGTCGTTTTATCTTGAGTTGGAGTTTTTTAAGTTGTGATTTAATTTTGTATCCTTCTTCCTGCTTCTCCCGCTACTCAAGTAGATTACGTTTTCCGGTGTGTTTTTCAAAATCAAACGAACTTTTCTCGAAAAAAAATATAGGAGGGTGTCATAGTATCCTCAGCTGAACTAAATTTACTCTTCCGCCGTTTTAAAAACGCTAAAGTGGCATAACAACGCCAAAAGACGAGCTTGTTTCACAAACAGACCGAGAACCGATGACAGAAAACCACGGGAGAAATGGGTGCTTTTATTGTTGCAGAAAGGTCGCGAAACTTCCGGGAGTAGGTTGAAAGCAGCTTGACGCACAATTCTCACATTAACGACCTAATCTGTTGAATGTCTTCTGTCCTCGGCTGGGCGAAGACGGCAAAAAGGAGTCTGCTGCGGAAACAAGCGCAACCAGGTAAAAACATCGTTATTAAATGAGCTCTGTTAAACAGGACCTGCCGTTTCAGGAGCTGTTATAATTTACCGAGTGGGTTATGACTGAACTTCACGGGTCTTTACTCGACTGTCATTAAAGTGCCATTAACGTGATGGCACACCTCGCACGGGTTAATGGCTCTCACTTGGTCTGTTATATCACGCACGAGCCTGTTCCCGACTGAAAAGTAAGAAAACAAATGGGCAAAAAGCGAAGTGGTGGCCACAAGGAGGGGCTTGTTTGCAATTGCCTTGTTCCTTTAACTGAAATTATTATATTTTCAACATTTCCTAAGAGAATGCGACTCTCTTTTTTGCTTAAAGTTGGAAGCGGTTGGCAGCCGGGTTGTCAAGGCTGAAAAATGTAACAATTTTCTGTTCCAGTTTTGAGAAATATGGAGTCCGTGACACCTAAGTGTTTGCGTGCAACAGTAGCAACCCCTAAAACCGCTATTACCACAGACAATTCTGTCAAAATGCTCGAAATCATCCTATGAGAAAAAAAAATAACCAAACACCCAGAAGGAAAGTCTGACCTGAAGCGCTAACCATGGAGACCGCAGTGATGGGAAAGCAAGTGATCGACTTCCATCAGCTGGGGTCTCTAGGAGGGGTTAAGTGGTGGCATTAGAGGTAACCTGGTTATCAGGCAGTTTCCGGAGTGTCTGATGGGGGAAATGGGGAATGACGTCAGAAGATACGCAGGATGCTTGGCATACTCATTAGACAGCATTCATCAATGGTGTTATCGTTATGCACTCAAGCTGGACAATTGCAGTGCTACGCCAAAGTTTTCACACCATCCTTTTTCTGACCACAAACCACAAACTTTGCAGTTTGTCGTTGAATGGAACTTGATGTGATAAATCGACACTAACAGTGTCCAGAGTCCAGACCAAGAATCTTTGGCAAAGGGTTGACTCGGGACTGAAGATAAACTTTTGCCACATGTTTCACTTTTTTCTCTGTAAGTAAATTTGAAAACCATGTCTCGTTTCCATTCCACTGCACAAACATGTGTTGGCCGATCACCAAGAATTACAATAAAAAGGCTGTGATTATAATTTGGATTAAGTTGAAAGGGTAGAATAGCTTTCAAATATAAAGTCATAAATAGCATAAATTGTAATTAGCTTTTTGAAATATATGAGGCAGGAAATAAATTCTAGGGCAGGGCTCAGCCACCTTTACAACTCCAGAAGCCATGTTTGACTTTGGTGCAGCTAAATAAGACTTGTTTTTAAAAGACAACCTAATTTTTACTTGATAAATGTCTACTTCAGGGAATTTGTCCTTTCTATAGTACCCCATTTTATTTCTAGATTTAAATTATAAGATAAAGCAAAGTTAAAAAATGTGCAGAATTTAAGATGGGTACATTTCCTTCTGTGGGATGTTGAAATGTATTAAAACCAAAAATGAAAAAAAGGACAGAGTTTCTAACTGAATAACAAAACAAAAATACCAACATTCCACATTTAAGTGAAAAAAATATCCTTTTACCAGTATTTGTTATTAAAGTTTGATTAAAAACAAGAACTGATTATCATTTTAAACCAGTTATTCAGAGCCACTTGTGACTCCGGAGCCACCAGTTGCAGACGTCAGCGTGTTTATTTAAATGACATTGACTCCCTTTTCTGCAGGGTTCACCCTTTGTGATCAGCACAGGCAGCCATGGCCACCATGGTGATGGAAAGCATTGGGCGAGTGTTCATCAGCCGGCAGCAGATCCGGCAGGTACCCCGACTGCTGACCGAGGCGGCGCCCTCCATGCCCGGCACCGTAACAGACTCCGAGGTTCCTGCCTACTTCAGGGAACGCTACGTCTCCACGGGTTACAGACCGCTCGAGCAGAGCTGGCGCTACTACTTCCTGTCCCTGTTCCAGCGCCACAACGAGACCCTAAATGTCTGGACTCACCTGCTTGCCTTTTTATTGCTTCTAGTTAAGCTTCGCCAACTTGCAGTCACGGTGGACTTTGTCAGCGACCATCATTCGTGGCCCTTGCTCATCCTCGTGCTGTCTTCCCTAACTTACTCAGGATTCAGCGTATTAGCTCACCTGCTGGGTGGAAAATCTGAGCTGTGTCACTATTTGTTCTACTTTCTGGACTATGTTGGGGTAGCACAGTACCAGTACGGCAGTGCTGTGGTTCACTTTTACTATGCAGTAGATGAGACCATGCACAGAAGCATGCAAGGACTCTTCATGCCTACTGTCACCATCCTTAGCTGTCTGTCTTGTCTAGGATGTTGCTATGGGAAATACTGCAACCATACCCGACCTTGTTGGGTGCGTAAAGTGTGCCAGGTAATCCCCTCAGCGCTGGCCTATATGTGGGATAGCAGCCCTGTGGCTAAGAGACTCTTGCTGTGGTCCATCGATGATCTGGCAGTCGCCTACCACTTCGGTCAGGTGGCGTTCTTTCTCAGCTGCTCTTTCTTCTTCACCTTCCCGCTGCTGGAGCGCCTCCTCCCTGGACGGTGTGATTTTGTGGGCCAAAGTCACCAGGTGTTCCATGTTTTGCTCTCTTGCTGCACCTTCTGTCAAATCCACGCCTCCTACTTGGACTATGTGCACCGCAGGCAACTTTATTTACGTCTGCATGAAAGCGGCGATGCTGCTCTCTTTGTGGGATTGTATGTGCTCACACTGGTTGGATGTGCACTGGTCACTGCCTTCATGCTGAGGAAAGTTAAACATGTTCTCGACTTCAAAATGAAGTTAAAATAAAGAAGTAGTCAGCTTGGGATCATAGTGCCTTTCCTAACAGAAAACAACATATCTGGAGGGATTTCCTTGTATTAACAAACTGAAGTAGGGTGTTTTTTTTGTGTGTGTGCATTTCTATTGAGGTTTCTTTAACTTATTACTGAAGTAGTGATACTACTGCCTCATTACACTGCCACTACACTGTACTGCTATAACTAAACATAGGAACTGTGTAGCTGCCATTGTTGAGTTTTTAGCTGTTTAATGCTCTGAAGGGATGGTCCTATTGGGCATAATTTGGTGCACAGGCAGAAAAGCGATGAGTGGCATCACTATTCTAGTCACCAGAATGTCTGTTCAAAACAGCAATGGAAGGTCACCAGACACAGAGCATGCATCATAGAACAAATTAGGAGGGTTACTGGATCAAAATGAAGTCTAATGGTCATTTTCCACTAGCACTTTCTCAGTGACACTCAACTCGGTTCTACTAGGTTTTTCACTGGTAATGGTTACGTGATACCAACCCTGTTTTCAATAGTTACTTTGCTGTGGATGCGAAGCGTGTGAAGTCGCGCTAAAAACACATCAGAAGACTGTTGCCCTCTGATTGAAAGGTGGCGCACGTGATCCGCACAAAAACTTTAAGCAGGAGGCCAAGCCACAGGGAGCGGGAACCATGCAATTGGTCCGCGCTCCTGGCTTTAACACAAGTTCAATACATCAACTGTGAACCTGTTAGCCTACAATACACTGGGTGAAACCCTGGGGAGTCACTGTTTGCATTACAAGAGTGATTTCCTTCCAATAATCAGACCTGCCATTTGTGAAGACTCACAACTTTAAGGAAAATGGGAACATTGAAAATGCCACCATAGACTGTGATTGAAGGTGCAGATTGTTTTTCTGCTCTTGTAGTGTTGGTGTCACATACAGATCACGTCGGACTTTAATACTCATTAGTAGTGTCGAGTAGATCCAAGCTGAGCCAAGTCGAGCGTACCAGAGGAAAAGAGCTGAACGTAGGGTTGCATAACTCTGTTTGCATGACTCGCCTAGTTTAATCTCTTACCATGAGCAGATGAAGGAAGAACAAATGCTAATCGTACGATGCAACCTCAAACCTTGTATGTGACTCCTTTAAGCCACCATCAATTTATGTTTCAACTGATATCCAAGGCAGCTTCTCACTAATGACCTTCATATTCTGTTTTTAATGACTGATGCTACTGTGCAACTGTCCTATTACATTTTGATTCCAATCATGATGCCACCCTCTCTGACTCTGGAGCCTACGGTTTTTGGATTGAAATCAAATCACTGATATGTGCACCATAATTAAGACTTCATTGACTAATCCAGTTGGGTTTATAGCTAATTTTTTAGCATATTAAATGTACAAGTTTTTTTTTCTTTTATTTTTTTGTACAATAGGAGATATTATATTTTAGTTTTTATGATGATCAGTTTACATATAGGGTATGGTCAAATGATGGCAGAGATGGAACATTCCTCTTGAAAAATATAAATTCTTTTGCTCTGAGAAGTTAATGCTCTGTTTTGCGTCAGTCTTAATAAGGCAGCACTGGTTGAATGTTGCTTTTAAAAAGGCATTTTCCCTATTTTCCACAAAACGTCATCAGATGATGTGCGGTGGGCAATCACTTGAAGCTGAAGCCTTACTATTTAAGCTGTCATTGTTTTATCAATGTAGGTTTTAAATCTGAAATGCTACCTTATTTCAGTCTGAGGTTTATAGCCTGTTATTTCTTTGTGAGTGTTTTTACGTTGTTCCATGAAGATTACGATTTCATATCATTTAGATGGAATTTTCTTTCTGCCAACATTGAATGAAGCAGTGATGATTGAGGCATTTTGAAGTAAGATTTGGTAAGAAGTTAAAAGGTTTATATCTTCAGTAGATGCCTCTATTGGTGTCTTAATTTAGTAGAAGTCCCGATTAGATGGGACCCCGGCATATTCAGGAGTTGCAGATTTTTCCATGGAGCTCCAAATTTGATGTTAGCTTCAGCCTCCAGAAACAACTCATAGATAGTAAATGTATCGATAGTAAATGTAGAGTTGCATTTTGCCGGGCAGACATTAACAACATATAACCTCACTTTAAAATTCCTGAACTATCTCTGTTGTGGTCATGAGGGATTTATTGTATTACAAAATAAACGTGCCTTTTTTGTTTTTTGTTAACATATTACAACCTGTATATACAGTTCTTTAGTGTTGAAAGAGCTGTACTGTGCCTTTTGTATTTTCTCTGTTTCCCTTGAGTGCTTAGTAAAACTCAGATACACTGTGATACTTTGTGTTGCCTCTGCATCTGTTTTACAAACGTGAGGTTCAATCTGACTTTTAAGGGCTCAACTCTTCACAACCAGCTCCTCTTTCTCAATCAGTACTTAACACTGGTTCTGTTCTCCTCTGAGATCACAAAACATGCCTGGACTCGTTCCCTGACTGCCTGATGGATTCTTTTTTTTTTTTTTTTTTGCTCCTATAGCCTTGGCAAGGCTAAGAAAAGAGTGCTCTGCCAATGAATAGAAATGATAAAACATAATAAGTTCAGAAATCTTTCTCGATACAGCAGATCTTCACCATAGCCCTGGTATGAGATGAGACATAGCATCCTTTCAACATGCCATCTTCAATGCAATCTTCAAAATGCAATATAACACATATGCAGACTTGTTCTAGAAACTTAAGTTGACTCATTTGTTTAGAAAATTAAACTGTAATTATCATTCAACACAAATCAAATACCAAACCTCAGATTTTTCTAAAAGTATCAGTTGCATTGAGAGCATTGGTTGCTCTCAATGGTAATCTCGAATCCAATGTAACAACATTGTTAAATCCAATGTTGTATGCAGCATTTCAGTTATTTGCATATTTTCCAGAGAGCTTTTGAAAGCGATGTGATGGACCTGATAACGGTTGAATGTCTGTTACATTTGAATGGTTAGGTGGCTTTCCATTTGTGTCAAAATGGAGAAGGGGGGAATCCAGAATACAATGTTTGTATCCATCACCCAGGTGATTTCCTCTAAATGCAATGTTTTCTGATCCCTCCCTGACTCCCATGGCAACTTTGTATTAGGCTATTTGTATGGCTGTTGGCTCACGTTAAGTCAACTGATCAAGCTTTTGTCCTCAGCTGTGATGCAACAATAAAACATTGAACCCCAAGCAGCAGTCTCAGCCTTCTGTGAACAGCTGAAAAGGCTTCGCATCAGGTTCCAGTGGAACATTGAAAAGGAGCTGCCTTTTTCCACATGTTTGATTGCATCTTATTTACAGCCTCATCATTATATTGATTTGTCACGGATTCTCACCATACCACGTCATCTATTTGATGGTGATGTGAACGCTCAGTTGTCTGTAATTCACTGATTGCCTACTGGTACTTGTACAAGATTGTTCAGTCTGGCAAAAGGGACAGAGAACGGTGCCTGCTATTGCTACAGTTCTGTCCACTTTAAGGAAAATATCCATTTTCTGTCAGACTTTCATGCTCAAGACACCCATAAGGTGAGTCCTGATACGCCGTTAGATTTGGTTCCATCGGGGACCAAATTTGCAACATTTGTTATATTTTCAACTGGTGCAATTAGTTTTCACACTGAACTGTGTCCCACAGACCAAACCCTTCAAAAAAAAAACGCCCACCCCCCTCGCCTGTGGTGGCACTGCACCACGAACCGCTGACGGTTCGTGGTGCAGTCGGCTCAATGTTCTTCTTTACAGAATGTGAACAAAAATAGAGATTTTAGTGGTTGTAAGCTTGCTCTTTTGTCTTTGGCAAATTTTTTTTTTTTTTTGAAAAACTGGCCGTTTCTTCTGGTCGTTCTTGACATGTTAGCTGTGGTACTTCACTAAAGTGAAGTACCAGAGTAAGTAACAGTCCACTTTTTGGTCTGCGTCAGAGTTCGATTGAGTTCAGTTAATGCGGATTAGACAGAGCTCATATGAATTCAGCTAGAATTCATATGAGCCAAAAAGCAACAGTTCAAGGGCTCTGTCAGATCAGATGAGAAACAAAGACTTAGATATTTACCAGCGTGGAAAGAATTTTGTTGCCTCTAAGACTTTTGGACTGCAATGAACCCAAGATATTCTAAATAGAATATAAATTCAGTTCCATTTAGGAGCTTCCTTGAGGCCTAAAGTGCTTTGTGAATAACATTTATCTCATCGAGGTGAAATTCTAAGAAAAATCTTTGAATTTTCTACCATTTTCCAATAGTTTTCCTAAAATGACTTCACTATGAGCTCCTTTTGTTCTCCGGATTCCTTGAGACTACAGGCTCAGAACAATGGGCTTTTAAAACTCTTCCTACTCTAGAAGTAGAGGCTCACTCCAACCCGTGAGGAAACATTCCCAGTTGAGAACCCTGGCCTCATACAGAATGCTACGAGGCAATACAACAAATTGGTCCCAGTCTCAAAGGTTTGTAAAGTTAACTCGAACAGAAAGAAATATGCTTCTTCTAATGGAAGGGTTCAGGTTTGATCGGGAAGTTGTGGCTTCAGTGTTGAAACTGCAGTTGCCTGAGCAGCTTGGAGTTAAAGGCAGAGCTGAACCGGAGATGTTCTGACCGTCTCTTTCTACCAGGTTGCCTCCCAACACCCATGTAGGCGAATGAACTCTATCCGTATCAAACGATGGCAGGGTCTAACTCTGTAAATATTTAACAAGAGGGTCGCCTCTGGCAATTATGCAAGGTTTTTTTTCAAGAGGGGTCTCGTTGCTTGAAGGATATATTACAGAGCATGTTGAATTCTTCCTGTTACATTATGAATTTGTGAGCATAAATTGTGGCAAGGAAAGTTCTGGAGCTGAAATTGGTTCCTTTTGTTTGATGTCCAGTTTAGACAAAATGTGTGTTTTTGCTACTTCTTGCCTTTGTTTTCCGTGAAACGGATATCAAAAGTTTTCTAAGATCGCACACACCGTGCAGAGGTGACCTTGCTGGTGTGTTTTGGAGCAACACAACTTAAGTGTGCTTGAGATAAAGGCCACAAACTGATGACCAACATTTCTCCATGTACAGAGCACAATTCTTGGTTCCAATTGCAGCAATTTTTTTTTAAATGTTATTTTTTTAGATTACTTAGCATTTTTATAAAATGCTAAATAATGTCAAGTCTCCCAATTTAGCCTGGAAACTATTGTTTTCTACTCATCTTTCCTGACATGCTCCTGTATTGTATGACTATTATTTTCCATAATCTGTGGACTAATGAATCTTTGGGATTATCAAAATGTCACTCTGGAAAATATGACAGAAGGATTTTGTGTTTCTCAGTTTTGGCCAACTGTGTGTTTGTGTGTGTGAAGAGTCTGGATTAATGAGCTACAACATTTAATTTCCCTTTGGAATCAATAAAGTATTTTTGAATTTAATTTGAATTTATGGTGTGAAAACCTTCCATGGATGGGATTCTTGTCCCGTCTAGTCACTTTCTTCTCATTGAATCACTAACAGACCCAGTGAGGCCCTCAGCCTCCCGGTTGGGCTGTGGGCGCTTCCTTGGAGTCATTTTTTCACTTCCCTCCTGTGAAGATTCACTAGTGTTTGTGGTTTTCTCATTTGTAAATAGTGGCTCTCGGGTTCACTGCAGTCCAAATGCCTTAGAGGCAACAAAATTCTTTCCACGCTGGTAAATATCTAAGTCTTTGTTTCTCATCTGATCTTGAGTTTCTGTAAATTGGACCTTGTACTGTTGTTTTTTTGGATCTTTTCACCTACTTCATGTTGTCAGTGATGATTTTGCAACTTCATACTGTTGAGATTGTTCCCCCCATCTCCCTCCCTCAGAAAAAAAATCTTAATTTGTATTCAGTAGTTTGAAGATATTGATCTGGAAAAAATAGAAAGATGCAAAAGCAGTCTGTGAGGGGGTGTAATACTTTTTCATTAAACAGTCACAGTTTTGGAAGAAATTGCCTTCTGCTGCCCCCCAGTGTTCAATGAGAATATTACCACACGAGACATAGCATTGTCTTATTGGTCTCCATGCATTTTGCATTGTTAAAGGTGGACCTGAAGCAATGTGTGTATTGAAAATGGTAGTCAGTTTTCTATAGTAATTGTCCTTCTGTTTGCTGGCATGGCCCGGTCCAAACAGGTTAGACTCTGCTCTTCATCTAAACCCCTGAATCAGCAGAATTAAGGGAACATTGGACTCTGTCCCAGATTCTTCCTTTGTGACTCAGTGCGAGTCACTTCTGATCATTACATTTAATTTCAGCTCAATAAATGCAATGAGGCAAATAAATAAATAAATAAATAAAAAATCTGCAACGCATTAAACCACTTCACGGATATTTGTCATTGTGTTTTATGCGGCGCCTGAAACACTTATGTGAGCAATTACAGTTAAAATGTCTGACAAAGGTCAAGCTGGGGGTTCATTGGGCAGGATCATGTTTAATTGTATATATCACGCTGAATTGTTGAGCAATTTTAAGCCTCATTTGGTTCCTGAGTTGTTTAATCTGTTCGCAGAGGAAGATCCAGCTGTTACTGTCTTTCTGTCAATTATTATTTTAACATTAATGGAAAGTGCAATTACTTAAATTTCCAGTATGACAGCAATGTTAAATTATTTATATAATTATGATTTTCTAATAACATTTATTCTTCTTATTATTTTTGCCTTAACCGAACCATTATTTTGAAAGAGGTCGTGGCATTGCCGTCTTCCGGTTTGAGCTATCCCGGTTCATCTTGACGCGAGCGAGTGCAAGCTATTTGCAAGCGGCGGACGCACGAAGAAAGTGTCAGTCAGAACGTGCAGCGATGAGCGTCAAAGTGTACTATACCACCGTCACCGCCTCACGGACGGTAAGTCAGACGGACTGGAATTCACCCGTTTACCGCTGAATGCGAGTCTTGAGCCCTGATGGGAGCCGCTAACAATGGTTCAGTCTAACGGACACACCCAGCACCCTATCTGTAATAGCTTCCTCCTGACTAACAGTGCAGCGGGCCTATGCGCTTCAGCGCTTTTTTTTGTGTGTTGCTTCATTCATTTAATGTCAAGCTTTATGTGTCGTGTTCCTCGACACCTAATTATAATGGCAATACGAGCGGCAGGTGTCTTTATTTCCCTACCTGAATTCGTGAGCTCGGTTGGGCTGTTTGTTTCTCTCCCCCAACAAATTAGCAAGCAGTATTTGTTCTCTGTTCACCACTAAACTTTGCTCAGTGTCGAGTCATTCAGGTTGGCGTGACCCGACAAAATCACTCGACTCGTGAGCGCATGCATCCGCACCAAACCTCATTCAAAAAATAG